TTGTACCAATATATCAGTTATGGCCAATACCAATAGACTGGTACATCACAGTTAGAATTATATCACTCAATTTTATTACATACAAATAACAGAACTCTACAAACAAAAAAAAACAACAAAAATAATGTAGTGGCAAATAAATAAAAACATGAGTTATTGCAAATTTATAAACATGGCAAAAGATCTTTGAAAAACAAAAAAAAATTTAACTGCTTTGATTTCAAAGTCGTTTGTTCATATTTCCAAAAAGTACAACAAATAAATCTATAAAACTATATAAATCCAATTATATGTTTTAATTACACAAGTTAATTATCTGAACAAGGCATGTTGAAACTTAATGACAGATTATTTATTCTTTTAGGTATATGATTATACAATTATTTTTCATAAACATAAGTTTCAAGTAACAAAAGTAAAAAATCCACATATCAACAAAATGTGACCAATGGTAATAGCCAAGTAACACTTTATATAATAAAATTAAAAATCCTACCAAAAAATATATCACAGAAAACATTGGGTCAAAAATACTAATAAATATTGTACCAAATAAATAATTAGTAAACCCTACAAGCATGTAACCATAAATTCAAAGGAAGGAAATGACATTTTTTTTTTATAAACTTCAAGTAAAAATCCTTTATAGCTATAAAGGTGCCAAGTAACAACATAAAAAAATTAACTGTTTAAAAAGATGTTAGATACAAAATGCTTTACATCCAAATTTGCTGTTTGATAAAATATTTTTTTCTAACTTTAAAAAAAATGCTATGAAAACCGAATGTGCTATTTATTAAATGAAACCATTACATATTCTTCCTATAACTGACAGCAAAATTTTAGTGGACTCCTAGCAGTGTCATAATATTGTCGTATTAACTTAAATGTTTATTATTGTGGGTGTGGTTGAATGTTTGTGATTTATATGTATACTTGTGTAAACAGTTCTGGTTTGAAGTTTAGGGTTATGCATTTTTAATGTTTGTATGTGCTAAATTTCCACAGTTCAGAATTTTTAAGAACATATTGCCTACCTAGAAATCTACTGAGAATATAATGGTAAAACTTCTTGTCCCCAGCATCGGTTAATATGAATTCCATAGCCCTACATGTAGCACAGATATTAAAATTTTCTACATTATAAACTAAAACTTTTCTACACAACATGAATAATCTATTTAAAATAATAAATTATGAGCATTATATAGATGTACTGTGACCATGTTATGTGCCAATAACTGTAAATTTCACGTTAATTATCATGACTCATTGACAGTGAAATCTTTAACAGTTTTGGGAAAGGTTTTTGGATTTGACAGTTACTGAATGCAGGCTGGTCATATCTTTTGGATATCAGCATCAGTTCCCATCCCCTTTCCAGATTTAAGTTATTTAATCTGCTGTTAGAGGGCTGAAGTATTCAAACCACACATGAAGGAAAGAAATGATAAGAGTGTAGTATCATGTGATAGAGACTGTGCAGGCACAAGTTTGGAATGGTGTTACATGTGATAGAGACTGTGCAGGCACAAGTTTGGAATGGTGTTACATGTGATAGAGACTGTGCAGGCACAAGTTTGGAATGGTGTTACATGTGATAGAGACTGTGCAGGTACAAATTTAGAATGGTGTTACATATGAGAGAGACTGTGCTAGGCACAAGTTTGGAATGGTGTTACATGTGAGAGAGACTGTGCAGGTACAAATTTAGAATGGTGTTACATATGAGAGAGACTGTGCAGGCACAAGTTTGGAATGGTGTTACATGTGATAGAAACTGTGCAGGCACAAGTTTGGAATGGTGTTACATGTGATAGAGACTGTGTAGGCACAAGTTTGGAATGGTGTTACATGTGATAGAGACTGCACAGGCACCAGTTTGGAATGGTGCCACTTGTGATAGAGACTGCACAGGCACAAGTTTGGAATGGTGCCACATGTGATAGAGACTGTGCGAGCACAACTTTGGAATGGTGCCATACTTGTTTTGATGATTGTGTATGAACTTTTTAGTTGTTCTTTTTTCGTGTTCTATTATTAAAATAATAAGGCATTACCAAACAAAATTTCACATCAACAGGTGTAATGGGGCTGTTATTGATAGTTTCCAAATTTTGGCTACCAGAAATAAAACAATCCAATAAGATTGTTTTGCAAAATGTTTAGTGACCTTATAGTAGGCACTTAGGACCTTTTATCAAAATCTGATAATGTACTATTTTTTACATTTTTTTCTTTTCCCTGATTCTACAAATATTTTGTAAGTCAGAGGTTTATTGATTAGTTTCATACAATGTATTCTAACAAAAGTAAGAATACAACAATGTTAAGGCTTTCAATCTGCTTTTCTTACTCATTAAGTAACTGAAAACAATTATAAAACTGTATGCAGTATCTAGGTTTTATATAATAATTCTGAGTTTTTTGGTATGTTTTATATGCTAATGGCATGTTGTAACTAGTCATTTTAAAGAAATGTTAGGATGCACTAACTCAAAAGATAATTCCATAACCTATTTGAAAATTTTAAAGAATAGAATAATACTAATTTCAGCATTATAATTATCAAAAAATGACTCGAGTAAAAACAATTTTTAATTAGAACCAGCCAAAATTTAGGCTCTACATGTGATAAATTACTCTGTCAGGTTCGATGTTTTGCTGCAAATGGAGATCATGAATAACAACATTTTCATTACAAATTTCAAAAAAAGCTAATTTTGAAGGGATGCAACTAAAATTATCTGTTGTGAATTGGGCAACCGAGTTATTTGGAGACTGGTCAAATGTGGAAAATTTTTAAAGATTCAAGGTAAACATATTCCTTATAGAAAGAAAAGGGTGATTGCAAGTAAAAAACCAGCTTGGCTCACAAAGAGTATAAAAGATAAAATTAAAGAAAAGCATCAAAAATTTAAGAAATTTAAATTGATTGGTATGACAGGAGATTTAGAAGGTTATAGGAGATCAAGAAAGTTGGTGAAACAGGAAACTAGGGCATCAAAAAGGATGTATGAAAAAAAAGGTTGGCTGAAAATGTCAAAATTAACATTAAGTATTTCTTTAAATACATTAAGGGTAAACAAAATGTTAGGATGGGGGTAGGACCCTTAAGGGATGATAAAGGAAGACTTGTGTCTGACGAGTATGAGATTTCTTGGTTATAAAATTTTACTTTTTCTTCAGTTTTTACTAATGAAGTTTTAAGAAATATTCCTCATCTTGAACAGTTAATAAATGGAAACAAGATCAAACACAATGATCACATTAATTCTAAACTTATTATGAAAAAATTGGGAAGTTTAAAAAATTATAAGGCTCCTGGGCCAGAAAAATATTTCCTCAAGGGTTTTGAAGGAAGTTAAGGAATGGATATGTGAGCCACTTGTTACTATTTTTTTTTGTAAGTTCTTGAATAGTGGGCAGGTACTAGAAGATTGGAATTTAGCTAATGTAACTCTTCTTTTCAAGGAAGATAATAAAAAATGGTTCCAGTCTTTATAAACCCATTAGTATTACATCAGTTCTGGGAAAAGTTTTGGAAAGTCTGATAAAAGATGCTTTGCAAAATCATTTAACAAATTTTAGATTTTTATTGGATAGTCATCATGGTTTCACTAAGGGAAAATCTTGCCTTACAAATCTTGTAATATTCTTTGAAAAGGTTACTGCTTATGTAGATGAGGGTAAGGGTGGTGATTTGGCATATCTGGATTTTTAGAAAGTATTTGACAAGGTGCCACATAAAAGACTTGTAAAAAAGAATTAGCTCTGTAGGTGTGGGGGATAAGTTAGCAAATTGGATACAAGAGTGGATGGATTGAAGAAACCAGAGGGTTGTTACAAATGGAGTTCAGTCAAACTTGATTAATGTAACAAGTGGGGTACCTCAGGGCTCAGTCTTAGGACCTTTGCTCTTTTTGATTTATATCAGTGACATATATGAAGGAATGGTCAATAAATTATTTAAATTTGCTGATGATATTAAGGTCTTTAGTGTTGTTGGTTGTGAGGATGGTGCTCTACAAAAGAATTTAGATCATTTAGTGAGTTGGGAGAATAAATGGCAAATGACTTTTAATTATAATCAATGCAAGATTATGCATGAGGGTTATTTGAGTTATAAGTATAATATGGATGAGAATCACCTTAACAGTGTCATGATAGAAAGTGATCAATCTCTTAAGCCATCCATGCAGTGTGCTATTGCTAGTGGTAGGGCAAATAGGATTTTAGGTTGTATCTACAGAAATACTGAATACACCTCTAAAGAGGTTATAATTCCATTATATAGGTCATTGGTTAGGCCATATTTGTAGTTTATTTTCGGTCTTGGTCTCCTTACCTTAGGAAGGACATTGAATTGTTTGAAAGAGTTCAGAGGAGGGCTACTAGAATGGTGCCTGAGATGGAAGGGTTGTCATATGAGGAGAGATTAAGATCTCTGAAATTGTTTTCTAATGAAAAAAGAAGAGTTAGAAGGGATCTCACTAAGGTGTTTAAGATTGTAAAGGGAATTGATAGTGTTGATGTATCATCTTTTTTTTTTTTTATATTTAATGGTGAGAATGATAGGACTAGGGGACACAAGTATAAATTTTAGCAGGTTAGGAGTCATGCTAAGACAGTTTTTTTTTTTCCAAACAGGGTTAGTGGCATTTGGAATAATAATTGTAGTTTAACTCAGAGGATTGGACAGCCTAGATGGACCAATAGGTCCCTAAACATTGTTATATGTTAACTTAGAAGTAGAATAGCAAAAAGCTGCTAAATTGACATTTTAACAAAATATAAATACTTCAGATGTTGCCTTTAGAACTTTTCCAGGTTTAGTCTTGATAGAAATAAGGGAGGTTATTTTCTGTCAATGAAAAAGACCATTGCCAATTTTCACCCAGTATAAACAATTTTACATAAATCTTTCCCACAAAAAAGTACAAGTAACACCTCAGGTGAATGACCCAGAACAATAGGTACCTAAAGCAAAAATAACTTACTTCCTTGACCAACCTTCAATGTTATAACTACATACACCCACAAAAAGTTAGGAATGATGCCTGCATGCAACACTTTTCCTCTCCTGTACTTTCATTTTTCAGACCATCCTTAAAATTTAATTTATACAGTATTCATTAATAAAGCAAACAACTTTTGACAAATTCTTATTGTTTTCATCATCAATCTAAAATAAACAGTATTAGAATTGGTAAATTAAAAACAGTGTCTGTGTCAATTCTTAAGCTTTTGTCTTTCAGTTTCCTCTGTTAACATGTACCGACTAACCAAGTTGACTGAAGCCTGAAGTTGAACGTGTCGTACGAGTAATACTAAATTACTATTGATGTTATTGTTTCTTAGCATTTCTAACATTAATAATATTGTAATTATTATTAGCTGTAACAGTGTAAGTAACTTAAAAGTTACCTATAATAACTTAGACCATTACAATTATGTTAAGTATTTAAATACAATATAAAATACACTGAAAATAATACTTACAATTTTACATGTAACAAAACACTACCGTAAATACCTACCAGGCGGTATTTACAAGTTAACACATAGTACTCCAGTTTACCGCACGGTGAAGTTAAAACGACCTGTAGTAAAAAATAATAAAGTGCAATAAGATGTCAGAAATGAATTAAAGTGTGCGTTTTATTTATAGAACTTATATTTTTCATTTAGATTATTTTGCCCTGAACAATTATATTCCAATATAATTTTAAAGTATACTTCACAGTTACACAAAAAATTTTAATTTAAAAAGATCGAAAAGGAACCTTCAAAAAATTACAGAAACGAAATGGTTTGTTTGTTTGATTTGAAGATAAGCACAAAGCTACAAAATGGGCTATCTGTGCTCTGCCCACCACGGATATCGAAACCCGGTTTCTAGCGCTGTAAGTCCGCAGACATGCCGCTGGGTCACTGGGGGGGGGGCGAGATAGTGAAAATGCAATCGTAAAAAAAGTAAACAAACAAGCTTAAGATTTGATACATTGTGTTGACATTATTTCCTCAAGCTACAAATCTCTATTTTGACACTCCTACATATTACAGCTTTTACACATGGAATCAAGTAAAAATAAGGATTTGTAGCTGGGAAAATAATGTCAACACTATGTCAACACAAACCTTAAAGTTGTTTATTTTATTTCAAGTTACAGCTTTTTCAGTAAGTAAGATTTGTTTTTAGAAAAGGTACGACGTTTCGATCACTGGTGCGAGAATTATCGCGCCAGTGATCGAAACGTCGTACCTGTTCTAAAAATAAATCTTACTAACTGTAAAAGCTGAAATTTGTAATAAAATATACTTAATCAGTAAGTAAACTGAAAACGAAACTACTTAAACTTGTTTGTTTATTTTTTTAGCAATTGCATTTTCACTTTAATCTACATTTCTTGTTTCTGCATTTTTTTAATTTATCAATTTTTGATAAGCTTGTTTCGTTAGTTTTTATGTCCATCATAGACATAAGTCTGTATAACAGCAATACTTTCCTATTTGAAACAGTTTAATTTAATGGAATACGTAGTTGATGTATGATGCTCTCCCAGGAAACAATGACAATTTTTGGATTTGCTTCATGCAGATAGGCTGGCTATTGCTCCTGATATTATTGCCACAACGTTATCATTTATAGTGGTACTGAATGTATCATCACTATAATGCATGGTGACCAAAATACCACATGTTATATATATATATATATCTACTATATTTACACCCTCTAGCTATATGGGGAGACTCTATATACAGGATTGCAAGGACTAATGAACTATACTGGTATGGTGCATGGACTGGATTTTGTAACCGCAATGTGTCATAATATGATAGCAGATGTATACAAATAAGCACTTTTAATATTTCTTATACTTGTTATATTTCCCCTTCCTCCTCCTCCTCTCCGCTGGCTATAGTAAAGCCGGTGTTGCGTCAGCGAGGTCACGTGACTAGTGTCACGCCCCCTTCTTTCTGGAAATATCTTGTACCTTCGGGAATAGTCGGGAGATTACTAGATATAGGGTAGTCTGGTATATATATATAAGAGGGTGACAACGTGACAGTAATGTGTGTGTAGGTAGTGAGTATTTGATCTGCAGAGTATTATTGAGCACGTTCGTTGTTATAGCGTTTATTTTAGCGCGATTGTTGAAATCAAGTGTATCGTAAAGTTTTATTCGGAAAGAATAAACCAGTTTTATTAAGTAAGGACTTGTGTCGCTAAAGTTTCGTCGGAACGAAGTTACGGAAAGTTAATTAACAAACGGAGACGTAACAAATTGGTGTCAGAGAGTGGGACAGAAAAAAAATGGAAACGAGAAGCGGCAAATCAAACTACAGCATAGCAGACTTAATGGCAGCAATACAAGAACAGCAAAAGAAACAAGAAGAACGAGAAGTAAAACAAGAAGAGAAATTAAAGCAGTTGTTAGAGGAAAAAGAAAAGAAAGAAGAAGAACGAGAAAATAAACAAGAAAAGAAACAAGAAGAACGAGAAGTA